AAGGATATCGTGAGATAAATGTATTAAATGCTACCATGGGCATGGAACTTAGTCTATTCTGATATGTCTAACACAGTCTAGTAAATTAAGTACCTAATGTGTCTAGATGCCCTCACCTTGAAGAAATTGCTTAGGTAAAACTTAGCATAATTTGAACTATCTCTGTAAATAAGATGAGGCTTTAGGTGCTGATCCAAATAACAATACCAAAGACTCCAAGTGACTTGAACAAACTTTGATTCAGGTCCATTAAAATTTGTCATTAACAGGTTTCAACACACAGGTTCCACAAATTAATTTTAGTTCTGTTGTGTTTCTTTTGAATAATCTTGGTTTGTTTTGGTAGGACTGTTAGGTGCTCAAGAAGTTTCACAGTATCTGAACTGAAATATTTGACTTTGTTGTATTTATGAAGCCCTAATGACTGGGACAGTTTCTGTTTAGGTCAAAGGAGTTTTATTTTCTGAGACAGTAAATATCACTGCTATTAAGGGCAGTCATTCATTCCTTTACAAGCTGTCAAGTGGCATGATAAGGTGCTATTACCTTTTCTGTGTTAGGAGAATCAGCAAATATTTATTCCCTCCAGTGCTGCTTTAACCCTTATTTCTTGTTCCTTCTATCCCATTGCACCTTGTCATGAATGGGCTTGTAAGAGAGAACCAACAGTGAACTTTACTAATGTAAAACAGTGAGTTAACAAAATTCCATGGCAAATGTGGCAGTGCTTTAACAAGATTTGGTGGCAAGATACATTTGATTATTTACTACCTGGAGGACAAGGTCTGTCAGGGAGACCCTTCCACTGAGTCATGAGTTTCAGGAAGGACCCCCTCGTTTTCTAAACTTCTCAGGCTGCAGCTGGATCCAGTCGTAGCCCCAGACTTGCTTTGTGGTTTGTGTCTACAGGATTGCATGTGCACGATCATTCTTTGTATGAGTTAGCTAAGATTTCATTTAATTTAGCAAGCTATTGATCACTTACTGAGGATCTGTTGTGGCAGGGAATCTCTCAGCCTTGAGGAGTAACCTTGGGAGTTATCCTTACTCAAGGGGATATCCTGGCGTGCAGCCCAGCGCCACGTGGGTGAGCTCGCTGGGCCCTGGGCTGTCCACCGCTTATAAAGCGAGATGATTGACTTATTGTGATATTTGCATACTGGCAAGACTGTCTGGGTTGCTGTTCCAGACAGCCCTTGGCTGTCCTGTAGCCCTCTGTCCCCCCAAAGTCCTCAGGAAGCCGGATGCAGGCACCACAACCCCCACTGGTGGTTGTGGCAGGCAGGGGGGGGAAGCACACTGTCACACTGCCAGCAAATTAAAAACAAAACCTGGTCAGAGAAAATGCAGGGATGCTCCAGGACACTGGTGTGTGCTGCCCTGTACACAGTGCTCCTGGTCAAGCTGGCATGGGGCTCTGCCTGTGATTGCTGTGCAGTTCCACCATAATGTGCTATTTTGCACCAACCCCCAAATGAATCCACAGGAATGGTCCCTGCTGTGTCCTGAAGCACCTCTGATGGCTCTGCAGAGCCCACCGTGACCATGTTTAAAGATCTTATTTTGGAAATAGTGTCTGTGTGAGCACAATAATTAATTCTCACTGAACTAGAAACTCTTGCAGGAGTTGAAACCTTGCAAAATTTCGTTATGAAGCTGGGTCTTGAAATACACATCAATATCACGCACGGCGTTTTCAGCGATGGGACTGAGGATTTTTGAAAAATTGTAAATTTCTGAACTTTTTTTTATAATTGAGTGTCCATTATGATTCATATGGCTCTGAGTGCCCTAGCAATGAGCATAAATGAAGGCAGATTCTTATTTATGCAAAACTAAGAATCCAATCCCTCTGAATGAGTTCAAGTGATTTTTAAATATAGACAAAGAAAATTAATTCAGTAGTTTCATTATCAGTATTCCAGTAAGTACTAGAAATAATTTTATTTTCAAATTAAATCTATGGAAATGAACAAAGCTCATAAAATTAAGAAATATAATTCATCTTTAAAGTTAATTTCTTAAACTGTTCTAAGGGCAAGCAAGATAAAATGTCTGAGTGAGTTTAATCTTAGATTTATCAAGGTCAATAAAATTAGGATTCTTTACGTTATAATGTTAATACAGCCAAAATTTAAATAGTTATCTTAAACATTTATTATGACTACTGTATCTGTAAGATAAAAACCATTAATTTTAAGTGCCAACAGTGTAAGATAAGGAAGTGTGGACACTTCTAGCTAAGGAAAAGATGACTCTAAAATTCACTTAATCATGGACTTATAATGTGTAGAGGAAAGTACAAATTAAATTTTGTTCTGAAACATTAGTTAATACAACAATCTCCATTTTCATTCACCAATAGTGGGTCCATGGTATTAATTACTCTTGAAATCTGGGAAAGCTGAGGTAACTGAGGAGAGGCCAAGTTAGCTGAGGGTGTTTAACCTGGTCAAAAGGAGGCTTGAGGAGACCTTAATGCTCTGTACAGCTCTCCTGGAAGGAGGCTGTAGGCAGGTAGGGGAGTGGTCTTTTCTCCCAGGCAGAAGTGAAGGCATGAGGAAACAGCCTCCTGTTGTTCCAGGGGAGCTTTAGATTAGATATGAGGAAAAAATTATTCACTGAAAGGGTGGTCAAGCATTGGAACAAGATGCCAAGGAAGTGGTGGGATGACCATTCCTGGCAGTGTTCAAGAAATGTGTAGATGTCATGCTTAGGGGCATGGTTTGGGGGTGAACCTGGCAGTGTTGGGTTTATGATTGGACTTGATAATATAAGAGGTCTTTTCCAGCCTTAGTGATTCTCTGATCTACAACTCACGCTCATTTTGGCAGAGTTATAACAGGATACAGTTCATCCTGTTGACTGCATTCAATTGAAATTGTGGTTTTAGTATGCTTAGTTTGTTCCATTGTGATGTTCAACAGTACAGTTCATAGGTCCACTTTTTTTCCAGAAGTTTTTTAAGAATCATATATACTTGTCTTCAGTGGCAAGCCCTTTCTTACTGAGAGAATTGGAATAAAACCGAATTCCCAAGTTATCCAGAATTGCAAAATGCACCCTCCTTACACATACTTCTGGTGCTTTTCTTACAGAATTTACACTTAACAGGGTAGCTCACATCTGTAATAAATTCAGCTGGGAAGTCCTCTGGGTAAGAAAACTGTCCTGCCTTTTGATTTTTGACTGTGCACTTAGACATATTTTGGCCACAGACACAGAATGTGCCTGAACTGCCTGACCTTTAAGAGTAGTCTGGGCATGGATATGCATTGCTATGTGGAGGTTTGTGATCCTGGCTAAGGGGCAGCCAATACTCAAGGACGAGGTGCAACACTCTTTGTGACACATCCAATGTGATCATTTCCTATCACGTTGTCCCCTCCTGTCTCAAGGTGTCTGACAATGCAAACTTCACCCACGAGGCAAAGGTAAAATGGAACAAAAAATATTGCCCCTGGCTTTCCCTTCTTCTTTGCTGCTGTGTTTTGGCCCCAGGTTAAATCAATTAAGAACTTGTCTTTTTAAGGCAGCAATTCAACAGAAAGCTTAAAAAAAAAACCTCAAAAGCTTCATAAGTTCTGCTTTGTTTGTATGTTATTAGCAAAGTGTCCTTTCAATGGCTGTGGCTTCTAAACAGCGTGACAGTGAAAATACATCATGTTAATGTTCTTCTACCACTAGCAATGAGTGTTAATTAGAGCTGTATTTTGTTTAGTCTCTCTTTGGATTATTTAGGATAGTAATAAATTCAGCTCTGCTGAATGGCTGTTTGTACAATCCATCTTTTAATTCAGTCTTTGAGGTAGAAGACTATTCAGAGTAAGGTTCATAATTGTTCCAGAGTGCATTTGATTTCTTAGCATCAAAAATCATCTCTTATTTCATTAAGCAAACAGTATTTTTCCCCCAGAATAGATTTAGTTGCCCACACTTACTAAATGGAAATAATAGTTTATGGTTAATGGGTGGAATGTGGTTTTTTTTTATCTGATGGCTTTGTCAGTGGCAGTATTTTCTGTTTGATTTTTTTACATAATATTTTGATGGACACAGCATATTTTCTGTAAAATGTAAAGGATGAAATAATTGCTAAACATGAATTCTGCCTTGTCAAATTGTATACTAGAGCTCTTTTTGACACTTGACTACTTTTCACGAGCACTATTTCTCTCTGCTTTACGAGGAGTTAAACTTGGTAGCCTGACTCTATCTAACTAATACTATATTATTAATAGGTTATCATTTGTGTGCATGCCGTTATTTTTTTAAATATGAGGCTAAACAAACATAGCACTGAAGTTTGAAGTTAGATGTTTTGTTTCTAATGTAATATTTCTTGTTGCCAAAGAAACACATCTGTTATTCATGGATGTCTCTTCCTCAGACAATACATTCAAGTTAAAAGGCATCTGATAATTGGATTCTTTAAAATTTCCCTTTCCTAATTAATGAAAATTTTTCCCCCATTCCTTTTGGCTTAAAACCTGGGTTATGGTGCAACTGATTTGTAACCTTGTTAATTTTTAATTATATGGGGATGGTTTATATTAGCCATTATTTGTTAAAAGTCTCAAATTTGAAAGGTAGAAAAACCTGTGCTGAACTGGAGGAGAGAGAAAATCAGTTCAATTTCATGATTCCTAGGCAGTACATCTGGGAAGATCCTATAGTCTAAGTAATGAAATAGTTATAAAATTGTTATAAAGTGCACTACTTCTGATTTTTGAGCTCTTCAAAAATTTGCATTGTCATGTTTGAAATACATTCCTCTTCCAGGTATTACACACGAAGTGCTCCTCTGCAGTTCACTTAGATGCTCTAAAACTTCCCTCCCTCACTGTTTCCCCATGACTTTCATAGTCCTGGCTCTGACAGTGCTACAGCACTTCATTCAAATGCAGAAGAGGGGACAGAACCATGTGTATATTGAGACATGGCACAGATTTTTAGACAGGTTCCCTTTAATTTCAGTTTAAACTAATGCAGTTCCCAACTTAGGCAAGTTTGTGGTTTTGTTGAAATAAACCCCCCTTAAGAGGATCCGATTTCCTTCTCCAGTCCTTATACTTGCGCAGAATGGGAGTTGCCCTTCTGTTTTTGCTCAGGTTTTTTCTTGCACAGGCTTTGGGATTGCCCTCTCCTGCAGCTAGCAGAGAATGAGAGGGCATGGATTTTGGAGCCTGCAACCAGGGATGTCGCAAAACTTCATCTATGCACAGTCTCTGAGACACATCAGGCTGGAGCAAGCGAGAAATGAGGTTCTTGCACTCCACGGACAGGGGTTTGGTCTTGAGGAAGGGAATCTTTTGTTGTTTCTGAATCTGGAGCATTTCCTTGACATTAGAACTATCAAAAGGCTGTGAAGCATAGAGCATTGCATACAGGATGATGCCCAGGCTCCACATGTCGGAAATCCTGGGGTCACAGGGAACGTGCTCAAGCAGTTCGGGCGCTGAGTACGCCAGAGACCCGCAGAAGGTGTTGCTGAGAATGGTTTTTCCATTTTTGTCCCGAGACAAGGGTTTCGAAAAACCAAAATCCGTCAGCTTGAAGTTAAGATCGTTGTCAAGAAGGATGTTGTCACACTTCAGGTCCCTGTGAGCAAAGTCCGAGTCGTGGCAATGCTTGATGGCCGAAGCCAACTGCTGGAACTTGATGCGGGCGACGCCCTCCTCCATCGGTCCCTTGACGCTGAGGTAGCTCAGGAGGCTCCCCTTTTCCCCCAGCTCCATCACGATGTACACCTTCCCGACCGACGTCTCAAAAATCTCGTAGGTCTCGATGATCGAGGGGTGGTGCAGCCGTTTCAGAGCCTCCATTTCCCTGGGGAGAAACTTCTCCAGGACGTTCTGAGAAATCTTCTTCTTGTCAATGATCTTGATGGCCACTTTGCGCTTCAGGTTGAGGCTGTAGGCGCATTTCACCTTGCCGTAGGAGCCTTCCCCTAGCGTGCTGCCGAGGCTGTAGCCCCTCTTCCTAAGCACCACAGCGTCCATGGTGGGGGAGCCGCAGGGAGCTGCCCCAGCGGGAGCTGCGGCGCGTCATGTGCGGTGGCCGGTGGCCAGTGGCCCCAGGTGGCTGTTTGGAGCCACACTGGTGTGGCGGGAGTGTCGGGCTGACACCCCAGCACTGAGCACCGGGTGATCTCATGGACAGTTGCCCCTGCCCAGGCCGATGGAAACGACCTTTCTGTCCTTGGAGCTGCTCTGTGACGTCGTGGAGGGCAGGGGTTGCAGCCTGCATGGTTGCAATCAGAAAATGGAGCTAACCTCTTAAAGAGATATTTCTCTTTTTAAGATGGCCAAAGTAGCAAGCAAATTATTAAGTCTTAATTTTGTAATGCTGTTTTTCAGTTACTATATGACAGTATATCCTTATTACAACATAATGTGTTGTTTTTGCTGGATTTCAGGGGAAAAGAAAAGGAGAGGGTGGTTTTAACTATCTGAGGACTGAGAATTTGTGGGGTTTTTAATTTTTTTGGTGGTATGGTAGATCCCAATTTGTTCATAAATGTTATTTGTTGGGCTTGACTGGAATAACAGGTGACTGATCCAGGGACTGCCAAGGAGTACTACAAGTTCGGTGTATTATGTTAGCATTGGTATGAGCTTTCTCAAAGTCTGTTCCTTATTTCACAAGAAATTTTATGGAAATCCAGAACTGTCAGTTCAAATAATCTTTCCATACATGCAGTTTTCTTTCCTTGCTTTTAGCAGCTTGTGCTGGTGAAATTACTGACAAGTCTTGGAGGAAAGTTAGTTTTTTATCAGCCACTGCAGACTGTAGTTGTGTTCCTGCTGAAATACTCAGAGTTGTTTTCAAATTGATGGTATCCCTTTAAACTGAAGTTAAGGTTTAATTGATCAGTCTTTGAGGTTACTGTAAAAGTGAACAAACCAGAAAGCTTAATTACAAGTCTGGAGTGATAGTAGTTCTGGGGGACTAAAACTTTTTTTTTCCTCACGTTAAGTGGTGCATGTTCTTATTTCACTGAGACTTGTTTTGAGTTTAAGGATGATTTACAGTGGATATTTAGTACATGCTGCTCTGCATGTTTTTGCTGTAGTGTTTAAACAACCATATGGAAGGGAAAATACCTTCAGATTTGGGGAAGGGGCAAAGAGCAACTTCCTGATGGTATTACAGAGAAAATGTTCTTAAGGGCATGGACAGGTATAATTTCAAATTATAGGTTTAACTATTGAGCATATCATACCTTTGTCTGACCTGAAGGCACAGCCAGTACCTGAACTGTGAGAGGGAAGGTGTAAGTTGTGATGACATTGGGAAGAACAAAGAAGAAAAATCTTTAAAATACATGCAGTAGTGCATAAAGATTTACAGTGGACTATTACATGTGGTTGTTTCCAGGGCATTAATTTAATTGGTTCTTTTCAGGTGTAAGTAGAAATGTGGCCTTGTGTTAAATGCCAGATAGCCTCATATCACCCACTCATGCTTAAAACCACTCCAGCTTCTATTGTAGATGGCTTGTCTTCCTGTCAACTTGTTAATTCTTTGGGAAATCTGTCTTGTATCTAGACACTTCTATATTTGGTACAAAGTACCTGAAATGTATCATGTACACTCTGCCTGTTGCTTCAGCATCTTCTCATAGCCATTCCTTTGAAATGCATAGAAGGAGATGCAGGAAAATATTAATTTTGGTGAAAGTATTAAGCAGTGATTGCCACCCGAGCTGTGTGGTGGCACCAAACAGATTGCTCCAACAGTCTCTTTCTTCTCACAGTGTTTTGTTTTAAGGGCATGATCAAGTTTGTATGGAAATGCTCACATTTTTACATAATTACATATTAACATAAAGAAAAAGGTGTGGTTTTTTTTTAAGACAAAATTGATTGCCAAATTCAAATGTATCAAATTATCTATGATTTTTTTGAGTAATTGACTGCTGGCATTGTCCCATGCAATAGATCTGGAGAGTGGTAGATATTGGTTCCCTGCTCTGTAAGATCAGTTCTAATACCACCACAGAACTGATGGATCAAGAGTCTATATTCAGCAAAGCACTTGGTTCTCCCAGTGTTAACTGTGGTTAAACTTAATTAGAATCCAAGTGAGAAGTCAGATCTGTTATTAGTTAAGTAAATTTTTGTGTCTGTTGGTGATAATGTAAGATTTTCTTTCACTAAAGTAGCTTATTGATATTTAAGTAGAATTTGGACTAACACTTAACATCATCATATTAACAAATTTACCAGAATATTTTTTTTTCTGGTGTACATCTGTGTCAGTTGCAAATGTAATAGACTCAGGGCTTTAACGATGCAAATTAAATTTTCCAGTGAGAGAAATGCCAATATAGGCCAAGAATTAATTCTGAATCCAAAGGGGGAAGAGCAAACTATTAATTCATTACATGTGGCAGAAGCAATTCAGTACTTTCCTTTAAGTTACTGTGACATTTGGTCTTAATGTAGTAATCTGATCCTTTCTGTACATACTGTGCTCCCTTTACAGTTGCTGGAGTTCTCATCTCCCAAACAGACCTGGTTGTACGTTGCCTTCTTTATTATTCCTGTGCTCCTGTCATCCTCTTTGCATAAACCTCTTAGGTCAGCTGAGAGAGACCACTGAAATCCCCACTTAGTTGCTCCAGTTTAGGCCCAAGTGTACAAGTGGTCTCTTGAAAATCAGGTGCTTAACACTGGATCAGTGATTAGTACAGTGGGAACTGTGTGGCACACTGATAGTGCAGAGAACAGCTAGAAGGTAGGAACCTTTTAAGCCCTGCATCAATACTTTCTTGCATACCAAATTGGAAAACAATTTTTTGTAGGTGTATAACACTGTTTTATAAAAATGGGTTACCTGCATATTTTCCGAATACAGAAGACTTATAACACACTAAATTTTATGGATTTCTTAGGGTATTGTCACGGGAAGTCCTATGTTGACATCAAATCCTTTCTAGGTAATTTCCTGAAATATTTATCAATGTCTGAAGGAACTGCAAAATATGATTTAATTATTTATATAAAACATATCTGGAGATGAAAACTTCAGATTGGCTTTCAATTGCAACTTCACACGTGATTTTTTTTTGGTTTTGTGTTATTCCTAACATGCAAGATTCTTTGTGCAACTGCTAATGTAAAATTGCAGTGTTTGGTTCTGAATTCTCCATGGCTTTATGGTCTCCTCTGTAGTTCTACATTTTAGAAAAGCTGGAGTTGATGATGTTGTCGTGGGTTCATGTGGAACCACTTCACATTTCACTGTGGGGCTTTGGTGTTGTGGGTGTCTATTCTCTGGACTGACCAGAGAAGAACCTATCAAAATAGTTTTCTACGGTAATTATAAGTTCAATGCATTAACACTTCAAAAACAAGCAGGGAGAAAAAAAAAGAAAATGTTGAAAATTTTCAAGCAATTCTTACAGAAACAGGCTATTTTAGGAGTGCAAGAATGGTAAAAAAATATTCTTTTAATTTCCTTAGTCTTTTTGTTGATTTTGTGGGAATCTTGTGTGAAAATAGGTCTGTGGGTCTCATAGGAATGTTGCATAGATACAAAATGAGAACAGACTGTTTCTGTGAAGTAGTCACAGGTATTGACCACCACTTGGGAGATATTTCCTTCAAAGTGTGTTGGTTTTTTTTTTAAACATGTACATTAAAATACATTAAAAATAAATAATTAAAAATAAATCCCATATGCTGGATGAAGTCCTTGGCTGCTTGGGTAGTAATGCTTTTAGGTTTATATTCTACACAGAGTTTGAGAAATCCTGCTTTACCTGTCACAAAATCCTTTTGTGTAGGAGTCAACCTATGAGGGGAGATAAAGGGACAGTATATCTGAGAGTACACAAAATGCTAGCTTAGGTAAAATGCAGGCTGCTGATAACCCACTAAGCCTTCCTGGGTACGCTAATCCTAATTTATGTTAAATCGTAATTAAGACAGTTTTGTTTATTGCTTGTAGCCATGAGCACCTGGAAGACTGACTAATCCCATCCATGTGTTGGTGACAATCCAGCTTCTATTGTTGACTCACAATGCTGAAAAATTTGTATTTCTGAGTTGTTTTCATCAGTATTTTTTCAGGCATTTATAGAGGCCCTTTTTTCCAATGTATGAGGAACTGGAACAGAAGAAGCATCCTAAATAAAATGGATGAGGACATTTTTGGAGCAAGAGGCCAAAGCCTAAACAGGCTTGCTGCTTTTCCAGCCAAACTATAAAACAGAACATCTCTGATACACCCATGCAAAAAAAGTTTCACAACGCCTGCTGTAGTCATGCTACTCTTTGGTGTTGCACATGTAATTAGGCATAACTGTCAGATTTTCAGGGTTCTGAAGGTTTTTTTCAGAAGGCCATAGGTGGCACCAAAGAAGAGAAATGATGAGTGATGAGGAGGGGAAAAAGGGGCGGCATAAATTGAGTCCCAGAAGAATAAAACCATAAGAATGGGCAACACCTAAGCTCGCTTTCTGCACAATTTCAAGTTTTCAGTTGCATTGTTTTTCCTGTTGTAAGCTAAGCCCACCTTCTCACAGAAATGTTGCTGTGCAGGTAAAGGTTTTGGACCTGTACCTAATATGCATATTCACACAATTAAATCTTTCATGTATTGGGCCAGTGGTTGACAAGGATTGTTTTCTGTTTCTTGTACAGCATTTCTTCTTTCATCAGAAGTAGGAGCACTCAGGTCAATATAAAGTCTTACTCTTTTCTCTTTGGGGGAATTGCTTCCCTAGGAGAGTATTCATTCTAATGACTGAAAGTGAACCCTTTTAAAAATCATGCAAGAGCATTTCACATCTTTTATTGCTAAATCTTTGAGCTGTTTAGGGTTTTCCTATGCTTAAAAGTTTTCTAATTTTTAAGTTTTCTAACTTAGAAGTTTTCTAACACATAGTGTTTTTCCAAGAGAAATAACTCCTAGTATTTCATTGTCTGCCTTGTCATGATGGAATATAGGCAAACTACTGTTAAGTGGCAATTATTTTCTTTGAACTTTTTTG